GTGGTCCACTCCTGTTTGCCAAATTTGGGCCACAAGCAAGCCATAGGTAGGCCGCATGTCAGCCATGAAAATAAATAAATAAAATAAACCAGAACTGGCCCAAATCTGGGCCACATTTATTTTAATTCTGGCCCAGATCCAACACCTTGCTCCGGCCCACATACTGCGTGGAATAATGGCATTTGGGCAATCCAGTTCTGTTTGCCAGATTTGGGCCTCAAGTAAGCCTTAGCATTGCTGCATGTAAGCCAACCAAATAAACCAAAACTGGCCCTAATGTGGGCCACAGTTGATTTTTATTCTAACCCTGGTCTTCCCCACATTCCTTTTGTCGCCCACATGCTGCATGGAACGATGGCATTTTGACAGTGGTCCACAAGCAGGCCACTACACAGCCACATTTTAGCTAATAATGAACAAAATAAACCATAAATATGCAGTATCTGGGCCACACTAAGCCTTAAGTGAGTTATGCATCAACAATACTCAACATTGTAAAGAGAAATTTAAAAATGTCCTCCAGAAATGTTCCAGAAATGTGCCCTACTTGATAAAATCATCCTGACACAAGTTTTGCTCAAGCAGCAATTAAAATGTCACAGATAAATATTCAAAGACACATTCCAGTACTTTAAAAACTGTTCATCACAAGTTTGAACTTAAATACTTTTCACTCAGACTCTACCTAAACAGTAAGTCTGTGAGTGTCATAGCTACACTGTTAAAGAGCGCACAACAAAGATGAAAGGTTATATATCATAATCTTTAATCCAACAAGGGTAAATCCAAACACAATGAAATGTCACAGATAAATATTCAAAGACACATTCCAGTACTTTAAAAACTGTTCTTCACAAGTTTGAACTTAAATGCTTCTCACTCAGACTCTACCTACACAGTAAGTCTGTGAGTGTCATAGCTACACTGTTAAAGAGCGCACAACAAAGATGAAAGGTTATATATCATAATCTTTAATCCAACAAGGGTAAATCCAAACACAATGCAGCACATTGTGTTCAACATAAGAAAGCAACTCATACAGGTTTGGAACAACATGAGGGTGAGTAAATGATGACAGAATTTTCATTTTTGGGTGAACTATCCCTTTAAGGCTGTATGAGGCCCTCCTTTTGAGCTGCTCAAAACGACCAATAAATATGATAAAATATATCAATTTTATATGAAGAAATATTATCTGAACAGTTTTTATATTTATTTACATCTGGCTCACAATTTTGGCAATTTTTAAAAAAATTTTGAAAAGCAGGCTTATACTTACTAAACATTTAGTAATACTTCTCACTACAAAACCTGTGCCTCTAATGTTTTATAAATAGTACTTGGATAATAAATGTACCCAATTCAAATGAATGCATCAAAATGTTTATACTTTCTACTGTTTTCTCAAGTTGCACATGTTTTTTCCTTTCACATTTTTTTTTTTTTTTTTAAGATTTTCTGAAAACTTTTTTTTAAATAAACATTTTTACTTTAATTTTAGACTTGATAGAAGAGAACAAGGAGATTGAAGAACTGATTAAAGAGGGGGAGAACCATCATGTCAAAACTGAAGAAACACCCTGGAGATCCTCATTGATAAGAAGAGACAAAACATGGCCTGAGTGTGAAAAGAAAGCAGTTAAAAGCAGTAAAACATTTTTTAGACCACATTTCCTGAAGGACCGCCTGAAAGTTCATACAAAGGACAAGCCTCATGTATGTTATTTATGTGGAAAGAGTTTTAGTCACATGGCTGCTTTAAAGATACACCAGAAAAGACACAGCGGTGTGAAGGATCATGCTTGCTCTGAGTGTGGGAAGACTTTTTTTACATATGGTGCGATGAAAGTGCACCAGACAGTTCACACTACAGAAACACCTTACAAGTGCTCACACTGTGACAAGAGATTCAAACGGTCAGAATATCTGAGAATACATGAGAGGATCCACACTGGAGAGAAGCCGTATACATGTGATCAATGTGGGAAGAGCTTCAGACTAAAAGAAATGCTTAATCAACACATGAATATCCACAGTGGAGAGAAGCCGTACACATGTGATCAGTGTGGAAAGAATTTCACACAAAAAGGAAACCTTATCAAACACATGAAAAGACACACTGAAGAGAAGCAACACACATGTGATCAGTGTGGGAAAACTTTTGTGCATAAAGGAAACCTTAAAGACCACATGAGAATCCACACAGGAGAGAATCTACATACATGTGATCAGTGTGGGAAAACGTTTGTGTTTAAAGGAAACCTTAAAGACCACATGAATATCCACACCGGAGAGAAGCCATACACATGTGATCAGTGTGGGAAGAGTTTCAGACAAAAAGGAGCCCTTAATGTACACATGAGGATTCACACAGGAGAGAAGCCGCACACATGTAATCAGTGTGGGAAGAGTTTCAGACTTAAGCAAACTCTTAACGAACACATGATGATCCACACTGGAGAGAAGCCGTATGCATGTGATCAGTGTGGGAAGAGTTTCAGACTTAAGCAAACTCTTAACGTACACATGATGATCCACACTGGAGAGAAGCCGTACACATGTAATCAGTGTGGGAAGAGTTTCACACAAAAACAAGCCCTTGATGTACACATGAGGATCCACACTGGTGAGAAGCCGTACACATGTGATCAGTGTGGAAAGAGTTTCTCACAAAAAGGAGCCCTTGATGCACACATGAGGATCCACACTGGAGAGAAGCCGTACACATGTAATCAGTGTGGAAAGAGTTTCAGACTTAAGCAAACCCATAATGAACACATGAGGATCCACACTGGAGAGAAGCCATACACATGTAATCAGTGTGGAAAGAGTTTCAGAAAATGTGATGTTTTTAAAAAACATCTGCTTACTCATTCTAGAGAGAGACTAGAAAACTGTGACCAAAGCAGTAGAACATTTCTAAAGGACCGTCTGAAAGCTCATACAAAGAAGAAGCCTTACATATGTTATTTATGCGGAAAGAGTTTTAGTCAGATGGCTGCATTAAAGATACACCAGAAAAGACACATCGGTGTGAAGGATCATGCTTGCTCTAAGTGTGGGAAGACTTTTTTTACATATGGTGCGATGAAAGTGCACCAGACAGTTCACACTACAGAAGCAGCTTACAAGTGTTCACACTGTGACAAGAGATTCAAACGGTCAGACTACCTGAGAATACATGAGAGGATCCACAGTGGAGAGAAGCCATATACATGTGATCAATGTGGGAAGAGCTTCAGACTAAAAGAAATGCTTAATCGACACATGGATATCCACAATGGAGAGAAGCCACACACATGTGATCAATGTGGAAAGAATTTCAGACAAAAAAGAAACCTTATCAAACACATGAAAAGACACACTGGAGAGAAGCAACACACATGTGATCAGTGTGGGAAGGGTTTCTTAGACAAAGGAAACCTTAAAGACCACATGAATATCCACACTGGAGAAAAGCCATACTCATGTGATCAGTGTGGCAGGAGTTTCGCACATAAAGGAAACCTTTTCAAACACATAAAAAGACACACTGGGGAGAAGCCACACACATGTGATCAGTGTGGGAAGAGTTTCGCAGAAAAGGCAACCCTTAATGAACACATGAGGATCCACACTGGAGAGAAACCATACACATGTGATCAGTGTGGGAGGAGTTTCACACAAAGAGGAACCCTTATTGCACACAAGAAAACCCACAGTGGAGAGAAGTCATATACCTGTGATCAGTGTGGGAGGAGTTTCACACAAAGAGGAACCCTTATTGCACACAAGAAAACCCACAGTGGAGAGAAGTCATATACATGTGATCGGTGTGGGAGGAGTTTCACACAAAGAGGAAACCTTATTGCACACAAGAAAACCCACAGTGGAGAGAAGCCATATACATGTGATCAGTGTGGGAAGAATTTCAAACGAAAAGAAAGCCTTCATGATCACATGAGGATCCACACTGGAGAGAAGCCGTACACATGTGATCAGTGTGGGAGGAGTTTCATACGAAGAGTAACCCTTTACAAACACAAGAAAACCCACACTGGAGTGAAACAGCACCAGACAGTTCACACTACAGAAACACCTTACAAGTGCTCACACTGTGAAAAGAGCTTCAAACGGTCAACACATCTACAAATACATGAGAGGATCCACACTGGAGAGAAGCCGTATCACTGCCATTCATGTGGGAAGAGATTCACTCAATTATATTCTTTAATCTGTCATAAATTACATGTCTGCATGTCTGAAATTACAGTAAGTAGATGAAGTTCTGATCCTGTACTTCCAGGTGCTAGGTAGGGCTGCATCAAGTAATTATTTGCTAATCTATTAATCAGAGATTATTAGAACGATTAATCAACTATTCGTTGATTATTTCACAGATTAATCAGTATCTTTATTAATTATTTGGCTTGTGGAGTTTGTTAAAATGCTGAGTTACACCCATTCTAAATAATAAATAAAACAAGGAAATCACTTCCGTTTTTGAAAATGTCTTTTTAATATATTTTGAGTAAACGGAATTATTATCTTCTTCAGGTTTTCTGTCCTCCTCAGAAGTCATCAATACACCAACTTTGCTCAGAACTGAAACACAAAAATAAATGGGAATTTCACAACACATAGGAGGCTAAAATATTCATCTACAAACTATTGTTACTTAGATCCCCTTGTGAGCACTGTGGCCGGCAATCTTGAGAACGCTGAGGCTTGCGAGCTTGTCTGAGTTAATTATAAAATTTAAGCCAAATGTTTTCAGAGATGAAGGCATACGTGTTATCTTTTGTGTGTGTATGTATGTAAATGAATCTCTTAACACTAAATGCCAATAATGTGGCCACTGGGAGACCACAGACAGTTGTTTATTCATTGCAATGCATTAGGCCTAATAGAAAGCCAGTTAATGTAAAGATTTTTAATAGTAATATTAATTGCATTAATAGTATTTTCGTGCCATGACCATGGGGGCCGGAACATGTGCAACATGCACACTTACACTTAATTTCATTTAATTAGGCAAAATATTTCACATTTTATGCTCATTTTGAGCACCAAATACGTGTTGTATAGTTGATGTTTCTCACTAAGTAACTGCATGCAGTGTAAGATGACGTACAGGTTTGAGCCAGGCATGAATCATTTTAACACCTAATTTTTTTTTCATAATTAACCTCACCTATATAAATATACAGCATCACACCATCTTCTTTCAGCCTAAAGTAATGATGTATATGTATGGTTAAGGCTGATTGGCCTTTCACCCAGGGCCGTTTCTAGGCATAGGCGAGCTAGGCGGTCGCCTAGGGCGCCACCAGCTGAAGGGGCGCCAATGAGCGCACGTACTGGCACTTTTAGCAGGGTTGTGATAAAGAGTGGCACGGTCACCCTGAAATATGACTGCCGCCCCCACTGGATCCCCCAGCGTTATTGGGCTAGAGCAGTGTTTCCCAACCGGGGTGCCGTGTAAAAAATCATTTTTTTATATTTTTAAATTGCTAAAATGTTCGAAAAAGCATCTATGATATAATATCAATTTCTGATGTCGCCAATAATTAGAGATGCACCGAAATTCCTATGACAACCAATTTGAATGTGACAAGCAACTGGTGTCTGAAAATAATTATATATATATATATATATATATATATATATATAATTGGGGGGGGGGCGTCAAATTGGCTAGAAACGGCCCTGCTTTCACCAATGAGAAACCTTTAGGCACACCCATTTCTCTGACATGCAGTAGCTGTCTCTAAAACTAAAAAGAAGCAGGTTAGAAATAAAATCAATAAAAAGAATATTTAGAAATTATGGCAACACCATTGGGACACATATATCAAATGTAAACATTTGTATCAAATACAGTCAGCAGTGGGTAAGGGAAGAGTATCAGGTTGGAGCAGAACTGAGGAGAACATAATTACAAGGTTGAACAGTAGCTACAATGCATTTAATAAGCAAACATCCAACAGATCTATGTGAGGTATGTGACGTTAATGAAACAGTTGAACATGTTATAATGTACTGTAGGAAATATACTGTGGAAATAAATTAGTTAAAGAATGAATTAGAGAATACGGGTGAGTTTACAATTAAGAATTTATTAAATCCAGGTAGAAATATAATACCATTTGTTACAATATTTGGGAAGTACTGGTTTGCACAAGCGAATACAAGTATGCTTTTTTTATGTAATCTAAATCCTGCCAAGAGGGCTGAGGGTGGACAGCGGAGCTGAACACGCAGCGCTGGATGAAGCTCTACGAAGACTCTAAACGGGTACAAGACTCAAGGGTGATTGAATGTGGGTTGTTAGGCAAATCAGGATTGTAGCTAGAGGCTGTGTCCGAAATGGCATACTCAATGAGTAGGTCATTTCAATAAGTACTTACTTAACAAGTGCTAAAAGAGTACATACTCTACAGGCAAATCTCGTTAAGTCTGAATGCGATCCAGACTTCATCCGCCATGTTGACGTCATCATGTGACCTATGACATTAACAAGCGCAACAACTTAAAAGATATGAGCGACAGGTTTAATTAATCTATCTGTAAATATTTTGATGTTGAAGAAATTTGCTCATTTTGTGGTCTTGAAGAAACAGCTGCCCTTTTATTGTGATTGTAGTATAACCAATCTGAAGGCGTTAAGACCCAGCAGAATCCTCAGCCGGCTGGTCACTCTCGCGTCACAGCTAGAAGATTTTTTTTATTTTTATTTTTTATTGAAAACATCGATTTATTACAATGAAAGATAGCCTTTAGCAATGATCAAGAACAAAAAACCTGTTACGAGGGATTTAGAATAATAACAAGGTAAAGAAAGCAAGTATCAAGATAAAACAACATAAAATAAGAGTAAAATACAATAATAATTATCAAAAACTAAATAATAATAATAATACAGATAAATAACAGAAAGAAAATAAATGATTTTTTTTACTTTTCTTTTTGACTCAAGTAGGAGTTAAGAAAGCTCTTCTAAACATTCTATCTCAGTTCACAGATGATTCAAAACCTTATTTAAAATCTGGTATGTTTTAACTGCTTTTTTGTTTCTTTTTAATTTACAGAGGGATTCAGCGAAACTTTTTAATTCAGAGCAAAATGCAATAAAATTTGGTTTAGAAGCTGTAACTTTACACTTATGAATATGACCTTTTCCAAGCAAGCACAGGATTTTAATAGCATTATTTAAAAGAGCAGATCCAGTGTTACATAACAAAAACAGGACCATTTCTTCTGTGATATCAATAAGGTTATTAAAGGAAGTAAAGATCAAAGTTGAAATCTCAATCCAAAATGGTACTATAAAGGGACATCTAAAGAACAAATGAAGCACTGATTCATTTTCAGATCCACAAAGAGAGCATTCTGGGTGAATATCCATAAATTTAGATAAAAATAACTTGCAGGGGTAAAAATTGTGAAGGATTTTAAGATGGATTTCTTTAACTTTGTTTGGTATCACAAGATTATTATGAACAGACCATATGTTACACAAAGATAAAGAAGGATAAATCCGTTTCCATGAAGTCATTGCTATAGGGGCAATACTGCTTATAGAGAGTAATGTTCTTCTGATATGAATATTATTGCATTTTTTATCTAACAAGTCAATACCACCTATCATTAATCGAGGAATGTCTTCCTTTAAAGAAGAGTATTGTAAGGATGATTTAATTCTAGTTGTAGAAGTTTAGGCGAAATGCCATTGATTATTCTCAAAAATTCTCTACGAGTAATATTAATACTATTTTCCTTATAAAATTAAAAAAAATGTCTCCTATTAATATTTTGTTAAATAAGAGATTACTCAATTTGAGTATATTGATCATTTGGTAATAAAACCTATATTTTTATTTAATAAAAAAAGAAGAGTTTGCCCATGTCCCTTGAATGGTTGTCCACCCTGTTGTATTGGGGAATCCGCCCCTTTAAGAAAAGGCCATTCACTTTAGTGACAACAGATTTTTTTTTGTCTCTTCAGTGGCGGGGATTTCAAACCCCGGGGGGAGTAAGTTGGTGACTTTT